GTTTCCTACAACAATATACGAGCATTGTGTTATTATTACATTCTTTAATATGTTCATACTAAATTTACTAGGGTGTTTTTTCTTTTAGAATTGAAAATTACTTTTGAAATAATGATAAAATATTGTCTAGGAAATAGATATTTTGATGAAAAGTTTTATAAACAAAAATGAGCACAATAAGGAGTTAGAGGTTTTTTTTATTAGGGAGGTATACTTTCTATTTCTTATTTTAATTTTCTTGATTTTCATGGTTATATCTTATGAATTCTTTTGATTTTTTTAATCAAATAATAGACAAAAAAACTATTAGATTTTTTAAAATCAAAGATAATAATAAGAAAGGCAAAGCTTTTACTAGTAAGGAATTTAGTTGGATAAGAGAGTTGTCACATAATATTATGGTTATTAGAAATCCCAATTGGTCTTATAGAAATTCTAGACAATGGACTAGTAGTGTAATGAAAAGTTATTAGTACCTCTAATATATCTTATCTGAGGTAAGCTACAATATTTTTTTTTGTTTGTTATGATATTTCTATTTATATCAGTCTACATTGATGGTTTTGCTACCATAACCAAACTCTGGCTTCCTAGGTCAGGAACTTGGTCTGAAATGGTGAAATATCCTCAATTATCATTGAAGCTTTTTTGTGGGATAAACTTGAAATTTATGGCTATTAGGTCATTTCAAATAATATTTCAAATAATATTCTTTGCAGTTTTTTATCCTTATATCATGATTGAATTAGTTATATCACTTCCAATAATATTTTACATATTAACTTCATACAAGTTTTTTTTTTAATCTTTATATTAAAGGTGAGTAATAATAAATCATTATTCCTAATAATATTTTAGATATTAACTATTTTGTAAGTTTTTTATCTTTATATTAAAAGTAAATAATATATTTTCTTGTCAAATGTTTTTTTAATAATTTTTAAATATAGACCAAAATCCTTGGAAACTTTACAAACTTGTTGTAAATCCATGCAACACCCTTTCTAAAACATGCCAAAGTATTTTAGATTTTTAAAAAAACACTAAAGCAATTTTAAGTAGTTTTGGCCATATGAAAGAAAAATATATCTTTTTTTTTTAACTTTGTCTGGCAAAAACTTTTTTTTTTGTAATAAAAATGTCAAAACAAGCATAAGGGGATGTTTGCAAAACACACCTTTAAACCAAAAAACCCTTTAGCAAAAACATTGGAAACCAAATAAGTCTTAACTCTTTGATCTTATTTTGATCTAATCGGGTTGACCCAACTCAGTTGACCCAAAATCTTTAGTGCGACCATAAAATGAATTAAAGACCTTGGTTTTTGAGATTTTTTGGATTGATAAATTGGTTTTCAGAGGAGGTTATAATAGTGTTTTTAGATGAAAATAAGTTGAAAAATAGATTTTTAGATAAAAAAACACAACCTTGATTTTCCGCCTACCTTTATGGTGGATGAAATCTAGGTAAGATAACAACTCGTCATTTAGTTTTTTTTTTTAAAATCAAATCTATGACAAATTGTCTATCTAATTTGAAAAAGAAATAAAAAAGACTCAAGTATGTAGGCTTGAGCTTATTTTTAGGTCGCTTATGATCGAACGTCTACTTTTTAAAAAAAAAAATCTCTATCATTCATATTTAAACTCTTAAAAAATAAATAATTTAAAATATAATATATTTGATTTCTTTTAAATTCCTAGATCAATGAAGGATTTTGTTTTATTTTATTAAATTCTATTTAATTTTTACTTTGGTCTTGAACCATCATTCTTTTTACACAATCCATCATATTTTATTTTTTGAATTGTTATGTTAAGATCATTGAATTTTTATCATGTAATTAAATAAAAATAGTTAAAAAAACTTATTAAACCTAGGTGGATTCATGACCCGAGTTGCAAATTCAGCAGGTTGACTTGGATCAATTTGATATATCACCTTCTCAATATTAAAAAAATAATGTGGTCTTGGATTTCTTGTAAGTCAAGCCACGTGTTTACTAATTTTTCAAGTTATTTATAGGCTTACCAAGTTAATCATGTCACATCATGTTACTATTCATATGATTTAGTTTGAAACCTAGGCTAGACAAGGATTTACATTGAAATGTTTCAAGAATGATTAACTAAGTTAAGTTTAATGACACTTCTTAAAAGTTTCATATAACAATATACAAGAAGCATTGTGTTATTATTACATTTTTTAATACACTTGTATTAAAATTATTAGGGCATTATTCTTTTAGAATTGAAAATTGCTTTGAAATAATAACAAAATCTCATAATAACAAGTTTTTTTTTGTTACAGAGGTCCCTTTTTTATTTCTATTTTAATTTTATTAACTTTTATGGTTATATCTTATAAATTCTTTTAGTTTTTTATTTAAAAAAACAAATGATAGAGAAAAAACTGTTAGATTTTTTAAAATCAAAGATATTAATAAGAATTAAAAGGGAAGCTTTTACTAGCAAATTATTTTATATCAACGGAATTTAAATTGATAAGGAAATGAAGACTTCTTATAAAAAATATTTGAGTAGTTAAAAACACTACAAGTATTCTCATTGGTGCCAATTTCTGAACTTTACAACTTAATTTTTAGTTAGTGTTAAGATTCTTTTAGCATTTATTAATTTTTAATTTAATGTATTTTATTAAATATATACATTAAATTTTAAATTAATAATTAATTTTTTAATTGTAGAATACTGACCTGAATATTCTGTTTACATTGAAAAAGAAAAGAAAAGTTTTGATTCGCAGTATATTACAAGTCAGTTATTATTAGTACAGATTGACATGTTTCCTAGCAAGTCCACCATTGACGAAGAAAGAGTTCACACCTTTTTCGATTAGGCTCTTTGATTAATTTTCTAGTGATTCTGACATAAGAACTCCATCAATAAAAAGAGTAATGCTGGAAGATAAAGTAATATGAACAATAAATATGTACCCTACAAAGTACATTTTACTTGATGGTGTGAATGCAATTCAGTTGGGTAGAGAGAATCTTGGCTGGAAAGTAGCCAAAACCTACAGATATCAGGCCAACCTTTTAAATTCAACCCCCCAGCCTTAATCTCTCTCTCTCTCTCTCTTTCTTGTTGGAAATTCAACCCCCCAGCCTTAATCTCTTTATTTTTTTTCCTGTTTCCATGATGACTAATCAGTATGTTGTTGAAAATGCATGCAAGGTAAATACAAGAGAATATACGGAGACGTGAAAAGAAGTCAGGGAAAGCAACCCACTACGGGGGTGGCATGCAGGACTAATTTCCTAAGAATTATCTAGTTTGTCTGGGAATTATATGATAGTAAAATAGTTTTTCTTTTTGGCAGCACTCGTATGTGTTATGTAACCCTTTGAACATGGCCATGGTGGCTCCTTCAAGGCTTCTCATTGTCTTGGTGCATTCTGGAAGCTTAAACAGCATAGCCCTAGGATTTCCATAAATATTACAATCATTTCCCAAACTAATTTTGCCCCTTTTCAATGTGAGTGATTTATATATTCGACAGATCGAGACTAAAGAATGGCCGTACGTACAACTATATATATGGAAAATTCAACAGTTCAAGGATCCCATAGTAACACCAAGAAATGTTGAAGGGTAGAAGAAAAGGAATGAAAATGTGATGCAGAAACACTCACAGTTAGTCCCTTCAAATGGTGCCCATCTTCTTATCAACTACTAGTAGATACTGCACTAGACTGTCTTTGCTATATGACTCAATAGTCTGACACGAAATTCAGTCTTTTTGTCGATGCATTTTCAGGAATTTGCCAGCTACTTCCTGTCCAAACCTGGAGCGCTTTCATAAGCAATTGAATCCTTAATTGGCAGTGCCAGTTACATTAGTGACCCAGCAATTTAATTCCAAACCAATCGAAACCATCAAACCAATATTTCAAAGCCGATTTAATAGTCTAAGCTTTCATCACAAGTAAATTAAGATGAAGATATATTAATTAAGGTACCAAGAAAGCTGCAAACTGGACAAAATATGGGACATTTCTTTTATATGACTTATGTATCTTGTCGGATGAGGCCCTGGTAGTGTTACTCAATCATCTAATTAGATGGCTTTTCACTTCATATATAGCATCTCTTTATGAGATTTACTAAGTTGAAACATGGAAAATAAAGAATACGGGCATGCTGTACGCGATAAACCGAAGACAACAGTCTGGCTGGCAAAGTTGAGTATTCTTTCATAGTAGGAATCCTAGTTTAGTGTGTCCTCTCATGCATGGTTACCTACTTGGCCCGGTCTTACACATGAATTGAACCTATAAAACCAATTTCGGTTATTGAGTTGTGTTGTGTTTTTAAAAAAATTAATTTTTTTTTATTTTTTTATTTTAAATTAATATATTTTTAGTATTTTCAAATTATTTTAATCTGATAGTATTAAAAATAATTTTAAAAAATATAAAAATATATTATTTTAATATATTATAAAGCAAGAAAAATTTATAAGAGCTTTCAAATAATTTCGGGAATATTTATGAGGAAGGTAATTATTGTATTTTAAAATAATTTTAACTTGAAAATATTTTTTATTTTTCAAATTAATTTTAATATCAAATCAAAACAACTTAAAAATATAAAAAATAATTTTATTTAAAAAAATCTTAATATTTTAGAAACGTATAATTTAAAATACAAACAAATAGCCACTTGCTCCATTGATCTAATTAAGAGTAATCAATTTTGAAAGTATGGATTAATTAATCTAAGTGTATCTTTCAACAAAATTTGCCTTTTTTCCCCCTTCTTCTTCTAAAAAACGCCACGCATTTCTCAATTCTTGTAGGGTACAGCCATAAAAAACGGGTGACTAATCCCCACATGCACTTTCACATATCTGTAAATATGTTTGTTGAGACTATGCAAATATTGGCATTGTGTGGCAGAAAATCTTGAATCTCATTTCAGGATATCAAATATGTGAACTCGTGCGTGTACCTGTGAATTCACAGGAAGGGAAAAAAAAGAATAGGAAAAAGATTATCTTATTAAAAAGAGATTTGTCGAAATACAAAAAAGGAGCTTTACATTTCATGGCATAAAAAAACCAAGAGACTCGTCTGAAAGTTCCATTAAGCTAGGAATGCATAGATATGGATCATCATAAGAAAGCCAGAAATTCTCATAGCAATCATTCCTTATTGTTGGCTCATGGGTGCTATTGATTTCTTTTGCCTTCTCATGACTACCTTCTATCACATTTTGAAGTTCAATTTCAGTGTTATTATTACAAGGAATTGATTCATCATTTGAACTTAATTTATTAGGGAAATTAGCCTCTAATTTGTCAGAGAGTTTTGACGAAGAATCACTAATTTTACACTTTCTCTTCTTGATTCCAAGTTTTTTGCTTAAATGAGTGTTCCAATGATTCTTCACTTGATTATCTGTTCTTCCCGGGATCCGACCAGCAATTAAGGACCACCTAAATAAAAAAAAGGGAAAGTATAAGAACATATATTTGGTATTTAATAATAAACAACAAAGCCCAGTACTACATTTAGCTAGGCAAAAATGAATCAGAAGAATGCTAACTTAAAATTCTGTAACGTTGATAAGAGATTTAGAGAAACACCTATTGCCAAGAAGCTTATGGAGCCGGATGATAAGGTCATCTTCTTCCTCTGAGAAACCCCCGTGCTTAACACTAGGGCTTAGATAATTTATCCATCTCAACCTGCAGCTTTTGCCACATCTCTTGAGGCCTAAACCACAACATTCAAATCTTTTAGCTGATAAAAAAAAACATTTGACGAGCACTCAAACTAGCATCAATTCCTTCAACATGGAAAGATAAAAAAAAAAAAAAAAAAAAAAGAAGAAGAAGAAGCTCTAGCCTGTCCCTTTTGCTGCACGATTCCACTTCCCTTTGCCATGCGCCTTTACGTAATCCATCAAGATTCTATCTTCCGCCGCTGTCCAAAACGCTTTTCTATATTCACTACTCCCAGCTCCTTCCATTGTTGTTGCAGCAAAATGTTTATTGTAAATATGGAGATATTTGCAATTATTAACAAACCCTTTCCGAAGAAAGGTAGGTAGAAAGAAGTTTTGAAATCTGGAGTAGTAATTGTACCACAATATTTTATAGTTTATATATATGGAGGATTTGCATAAAAAAGGAGGCCCGCTCTGCTTATATACTAGTCATAGATAGATTGTGTGATTGTTGTGGTGGCTACGATTTCTTCCCCAAAATTATTGCTTTTTAAGAAAGTTTTTTAAACAGTGGAAATTATCAGGCATGAGCAGCGACAAAGTTCATAACTACAATAGGCTTTTGTTGGGTTATCCAGGTGACCCACATGAAGAAAATAGGCTTTTGTTGGTTACATAAACGACAACAAATCATAAATGTTCGTACGTTTTCAATAGCCAGGCCAGGCCACCTTAGATTGGCTTTTTTTTCTTATTAGTAATTTTTTAAAACATCTTAGTAAAATAACACAATTAAAAAAATTATTGAAATTTGCACATGCTATTACTAGTAATAGAAAAGAAAAGAATAAAAAAAATTAAGACGATTTGCACATGCTATTACTAAAAGAAAAGAAAAGAATAAAAAAAATTAAGACATTAAAACTCTAATTACATTATTAATTGTATTATTAAAAAAATCTTGATAAAACAAACATAACTACATATAAAAAAAATTCAATAATAACAAAATTATATCATATACATGTTATGTTGGGTGGCTGACCTATCTTTCCAGTTAAGAGTGTTTTCGTTGCTTAAATTGCACGTTTCCTTTTTCTTTTATATTTTATTATTTTGTTCATAATAAGGAGGAGTGATTAGGTGTTTTACAAGCCCTTGCATTAGTCTTGAATAATATGGCGTGCGTGTTTGTATATATATATATATATATATATAGAAAGCAGTAATAACATCTTTTTTTTAAAAAAAATAAACTAGACGTTTATTGTACAATAAATTTAAATAAACTAGACGTTTATTGTACAATAAATTAAATATTGTAAATCAATCTTTCTAACTTAATTTAGGGTGGAAAAACAAAATAAATTCGTGGAAAATATATTAAAAAATAAGTAAATACATAAACGACTTCTAAGAGAAAAGGCCCTGCGTAAGCAAATCATTTTTTGAACCTCATTGTTGCCACACGGTATACACCAACTATATAGTGCTCAATGATGAAAGCACCATGGGAAAGAACACACAGCCATCCTTGGGTAGCATGGTGTAGATTGTGTCTACTTTATAGAAAGATGACCTGTTTCTGCTCATTGGATGCTTTCCTGATAAAATTCATGCGGTGTCTCTTTCCCACCTATCTGGAACATGAATGATACTGTTCTTGTTTTTTTAGCAGCAGGAGCACTAGCCAGTAGTGTACTCATGCTGGGCCATCCATGAATTACTCCGTTTTATACACCGGCATATGAGATAGTTTTGTTGTCGAATTACTGGACTAGTTCAAGTTCGACGTTCTAACCACATCACAATTAATGGAGTAATCTAAGCTCCTATTTAAGGTTTCTTTTTAGCTTTAATAAATCCTATTTAATTTATTTTTTTTAAGATTTAACTCGTTGTTCAAGCTTCATCCTAAACTGGATTAAAAGTTATTTTTTAAAAAGAATATGCTGGCGTTGCTACTTCTTTTAAACTAAACAAAATTTCATATATGAATTGAAAAACTGAACGTTTGTTTAATAAAACTAATTAATAATTGTGTCAAATCAAAAAGAGTTAGTGTCAAGTTGATGAGACTTGTTCATCTTGTAAAGTTAAAATGCATTTTCATTGTGGCATTAGAAACCTAATTTGATACGAAAAGAAATTCTAAGTCACATTGTTTAATTTAAAAAAATATATACTTAAGATTATATTATTTTTTATTAATTCAAGTTAATTTTTTAAACCCCTTAAATAACTCATGTATTTAGTTAGATTTAATAAATTTTATTTTATTAATCAAGGTTTCTATGTAATTATGATAATAAAATTGATATGCAAAGAAAAACAATACAATAAAATTTAAGAAAACAAATGAAAAATTTCACAAAAAACATGCTTGTTATTATTAGAAAAAATATATTTAATCATAAAAGGAATTGAATTATACTTCCTTAAATAAAATATATATTTTTTATTTTTTCATTAAATGAATTTCAATTAAAAAATTTCAAGACCTAGCTTGAACTAAAAATATATGTTTAAAGACAACATTTTTTCAACTTAATTTAAAAAAATATCAAGTCAATAATATTTTGAATTAAAACGAGTCAAGCTAATTAATTCACAAAACTTGTAATTTAAGTTATGGAATAATTTGATTCAATATATATATATATATATATATATATATATTAATCCACCTCTCATTTAATTTAACAACACTAAAAGTAGACATTTATAGGGAAAATCCAACCAAAAATTAAAAAACTTATTATATTTAAACTTAATTCTAAGATAATTTTTTAAAAAAGTTTAAATACTTAGTTTGGGTTTGGATCGGTTAGCATACTTGGTCAATAACATGAAAAATCATATCAGGTGAACACACCTAATATTTTTATTTTTATGGTTGTCTATCTACTTTTTAAAACAAACAAAAAACAATCCAAACAAAAAATAATCATACATTGCATTGCATGGCCTCTCACAATACATGATTTATCATCTTGAAATCTAGTTTTTTTTATCACCATAGGAGTGCTAGGAAAATTAGGGATTATAATATCTCAACTAAAAAAATTGCTTTTAAAATATAAAATTAATATAGAAAAAAACTCTTTTTCAACCTCATTTTACATTTTCCTACAAGATAAAGGGAAAAAAAATACTAAAATGAAATTCTTTGTAAAATTTAGTTAAAAAAACCTTGGTTTATATATAATATCAAATTTCAATATTTTCAAGTAACGAAACTAAATTTATTTTTTCTAAATTAAATATATATATATATATATATATATATAAACATTGTATTTATCAAGAACCCATAGCAAGCTAACACAAACAATTTTCAAGTTTTAAATTTAAAAAAACTTAACGTTAAAGATAAAATTTTTAAAAATATATATATTTGCTGAGATAGAAAAGGCATTAAAGAACTAAAAAAAGAAAACAAATGGGCATTGTTCTGACAAACAGTGCTCTGTGTGGATGGTGTTTTTTTATCACAATTAGTTTTTTATATATAATTATAATTTATAATTTATAATTGTAATAGTAATTGTAGTTTCTATTCTCTCAAATCAAATCAAGGGCGTGAGTGTGATGGGCAAGCAATTTGTTACCATGCACACATCTCCATGCAAAGCAGAAGGAGAAGCTGCGAACATTGAGGAAAGTGATAATACGGAGGCCATTCTGATTTGGTTGACTTCCACCCTGCGGTAGAGTCTTGTCTGAAAAAATACGAAGACAGCGGGTCCTCGGTTAAGGGAAATTTTCGGATTTTATTTTGCTGAAACATGGCAAGAAAGATAGAATTGGGCAATCATTTATTATACGAGCAATGACTGTCCCTGATTACACGTTTGTCAAGAACGAAATGTACCCCGCTACATTAATGAAGTTTTTTAAATCACAATTAATTTTTTATATGTAAGTTATTTTTGTTTTTTTTTATTAATATAAATATACATCAATTAATCTCATATTCTAAAATTAATGATGTTTTTTATATCACAATTAATTAATTTTGTATATGTAATTATAATTATAGTTTTCATTCTCTCAAATCAATTAAAATGACTCCAGCACGAGTGTGATGGGCAAGCAATTTGTTACTATTCTCGCATCTCAATACAAGGCAGAAGAAGAAGTTACAAGCATGAAGAAAAGTGATGGTAAGAATAATTAAAAAGTTTAACCTATAGTTTAATCAACTTTTGCTATATATATGTGTGTATTATAATATATAATAATAATGATGAAGGTTACCACATAAAATTATGACTATAATATATTTTATATATAATATATTCTATAATATGCCCCTTCTAGCTGAAAATGAAGGATTAACTCGGAACTTGAAACGAAAAACAATAAACGAAGCAATAGGAAGTGACTTAGTGAAGATATATACAAGTTAATCTTGAAAGGAAATAAAATGAATCGAAATCTTCTTCTTTATAACTTTATCTCGGACAAAATGGTAATCAATCTCAACATGTTTTGTGCGAGCATGAAAAACAAGATTCATAGATAAATAAATGGTACCAAAGTTATCACACCAGATAATAGGAGCAGAAACAGACAGAATCTATAAATATGTTAATAAATATTAAAGCTAGATAACCTTAGCAGTGCCATCGGCTAAGACTTTGTATTTAGCTTCAATAGAAGAGCAAGCAATTATATGTTGCTTACTTGATTTCCACGAAATCGGTGTCTAACCAAAGAACACAAGTTAACCACCCATAGATTGTGATCATCAACACTACCTACCCAATCTCTATATGTAAAACCATGTAAGGTAAAGAAAGGATTGTGAGTAATATATAGGTCATGTGATGTCATACCTTTAAGATAACATAATATGCATTTAACGGCAGCCCAATGAGAATCTGTAGGAGCATGTATAAACTGACAAACTCTATTACCAGCAAAGCAAATATCTGGACGCATAAAAGTGAGATATTGAAGAGCACCCATAATTTAACAAAAGTGTGTAGCATTAGAAAACAAGGGATGTGATAGAATGGTAGCTTTAGATATAAAGATAGGAGTATCAATAAGTTTACAAGATAACATATTAGCCCGACTAAGGATGTCAAGAGTATATTTATGTTGTCGAAGCATAAGACTAGTAGTAGTAGGCTAAACCTCAATACCTAAAAAATAATGAACAGAACCAAGTCGCAAAGCTTAAATTCAAAGCTTAGCAACTGTATGAGGCATTGGAGTAGAAAAGAGTTGATACCCGTAAACAGAATATCATCAATGTAGACTAGAAGATAACAAATATCAATACCAATAAAGAAAATAAACAATAAGGTATCCACTTTAAAGGCATGAAAATCAATAGATAATAGGAAATCATTCAGACAAGTGTACCAAGCTCGCGGAGCCTGTTTTATACCATATAGAAACTTATACAATCGACACATATGAGAGGAGAGAGCATAATCAACAAAACCTGGAAGTTGTTTCATATAGGCCTCCTTATCAAGGACTCCATTGAGGAAGGTATTATAGATATCAAGTTGATGAATTTTCCAATCACACAAAACAAAAATGAAGAAAACTAGTCTGATGATCACCTATTTGATAATAGGACTAAAGTTTTTAGAATAATCAATACCTTTTTACTCAGTGAAACCTCTAGTAACTAAACGCGTCTTATACCTCTCGATGTTGCCATCATATCAACATTTAATCTTGTACACCAACTGACTACTAACAACATTCATTGAAGGGTGAAACAACACTAAGGATCAAGTCCTTTTAACGTGTAAGGCCTGAATTTCCTCTCATAAGGCCTGAATTTCCTCGCGTATAACATTATACCATGCCTCATATTTGTTAACATCATTAAAAACAAGTGGTTTATGAGTAGGAAGAGAGACAACCTGACTAAATGAGGCAGCAGAGGCGGTGGCTATGGCCATGGCGATGGCAGTGGCGATTGATAAAGTTATCTTGTGCTATCAAGGATAGAGAAACATGGGATGTTGGTGAGCAATTGGGCATGTAAAAAAGGTGTCAATACCCAAGAGTGGCTAGAAAGGATATGAGGAAAGGTCAACACATAACTGCAGGCCTATTGGAGATTTGATTAAGAGACTGCATTGGGTAACACACATCAGCAAAGCTAATGTAGAACTGGGCTGCTCTGTAATGTTAGACCTGAAGATAAGGGCATTTAGCAATGGGGAACTTGTTCTTGCATAATGATCATTTGAAAAACAAGTAGCTGGAGATAGTATAGTAGGGCTGGAAGAAGGTAAAGTGAGGGTAGAGGTTATGGGGAAGGGCAACTTATGACAGAGTGCTGTAGAGGGTAAAATAGGGGTGTTGCTTGGGCAATTGGGACAGGGGTAGGCTAAAGGAATTGTGGAGGATGCAAGGGTAGAAAGTGTCTAGACTATGTGGAGGGTGTTAGGGTATATGTTATTTGTTCAGAGTTCGTAAAAGGAAAGACAGTTTCATGAAAACGAACATGACAGGAGATATAAATAAAGACACTAATAACCTAGATGAAATGAGCTACAACCTAAGAAGATATACGGTGAAGAATGGAAATCTAATCTGTGAGCATGGTATGGACGCAAGAAAGAAAAATAAATACACTCAAAAGTACATATAAAATTATAATAAGGAGTACGATGAAATAGACACTTAAATGGAGATTTATTTTAAAGAAGAAGAGTAGGCATGTGATTAATAAAATAAACCAATGATTTAAAAGTATAGTTTCAAAATTGCAATGGTGCATTGCACTGACCTAAAAGAGTGAGGCTCATTTTGACAATATGTTGATAATGATGCTCAACTATACCAATTTATTCATGAGTATGAGGATAGATTAACTTATGGTGAATGCCAATGGTTTGAAAGAATTTATATAACTTATGATATTACTAGCCCAATTAATTTAAACAGATTTAATTTTAAGTGAAAACAAGCATTCAACAAGTATTTGAAAATGTTGAAAAGTGAAAAATACATTAGATTTAGCAACAAGCAGATAATACCACATATGTTTAGTATGCGCATCAACAAAGATAACAAAGTAGTGGAAGCCATAAGAGGAAAACATAGGGGTAGGGCCCCAAACATCACTAAATATTAAATCAAGTGTGGCATTAGTTTTATGACCCGTAAGTTACAACATCAAAGACAACGACTTGCCTAAAAGACAAGAATGACACTGAGCAAGAGAATGTCTAGAAGTACATATGATTTCATTGCTAGAAACTAACAAATCTAAAATACGAGGGATTGGATGACCCAAACGACATGTTATAGGTTGGCAGTCATGGAGATGCAAGGAGACCAAAATGCTTGAGGAACTAATGTGTTAGAAGACTTAAAAAGGACATAAAGATCATCATTACTCTAACAAAAAAGGAGAACTTCCTTGGTGATAAGATCTTTGACATAAAACATAGAAGCGTGAAATTCAAATTAAACATGAATATCACAGTAGATTTTCTGGACATATAATAACGGTTTAGCAATATAAGACACATGAAGAATATTAGATAATGTAAAGATGTTTCGGGGAATGTAATGTAGTATGTCCAATATGGGATATGTCAAAATCCTTACCGTTACCAACATGTAAATGATCATTACCAAGATAGGTTACAGAATCAGTTAAAGTTGCAAGATTAAGTGTGACATATTGATTCTTGTCGATGTTAGGGAACTAAGTCACACTAGAAACATTCCCAATAGTAAGGTAAGCAAAAAGGTGTTGAGAGTTGCAATGAAAGTGGGGATAACATAAATTTGTATGACTGAAGTTGTAGTATGATTGGTAACGGACATACTACTGTCTAAACCACTAGGAAGCCCCTACATTACACCTATTCTACTGCTAGTTGGTTGGTCTCCAGTCGACAACAGAGTGACCTCGTGGCTGGTAGTTGTAGCAATTTTTGTGGGGACACTAGTTATCACAAGAATGACCCCTGTTATGGCTAAAATTTGGGCAGTGATGAAATATAGCAAGATGAGTAGAGGCCTATGGTGTTGGCAGTAATGGTGACTACTATAGTAGAGAAGAAAATAGCAAAGACGAAGCGACATTCATGGAATGAAAAGAGTTCTTGTGCAAAAATTCATGGGTAAGAAGGTGGTTGTGGAGATCAGCATATGATACGGGTTTTGTCTTAGTTATAAGACTCATTACCAAGCCTTTGAACTTACCACAAAGGTCACAAAACACAAAGAGATTGAAGTCTTTAAAAGACATAAGGCAAACAACAATAGCCAGTTCAACAAATAAAGATTTAGCTTGCTACATGTATATACTAACCGATAAGTCGCCTTGCCAAAGATTTTAAAAGGAAGCATGAAGTTACATGATGTGAGAGTTAAACAGAGATGCAAGTGCTTTGTTAAGAGTATGCCAAACACAATGCAAGGTAGAATAGTCTACCTCAAGATGCAACACATCCATAGAGAGGGAGGAGAGTAATACACTTGAAATAACTTGATCATGTTGCTTCTAACAAAGAAAAAAAGGGCTAATTATAGAGGAAAAATCAACAAAACTATCAGAAACATAAGATGGAAGATATGGTACTAAGCCATCAATGAAGTGAAAAATACCTTGACCAAAGAGATAGGGCTTCCTCTGTTTTTGCCAATAGAGATAAATTTATGTTTGTAAGTTTCAACGAAACAACTTGGTGGGTGTTTGATAAAAGACTGATAGAAAATTATAAGGAGGAATCAAAGACATGCTCTACAAGTAAAGGCTGCTGTTGTGGAGAAAAGACACCACCGACAATAGCTTGTAGTTAGCTGGCTGGCTGTGCTACACCATCGGTGATGAGGGAGAAGTCAGTGGCAATAGTAGAATCTATTTAGAAAAAGTAGAGAGAAGGTCGATTACAAAGGGAAAGAAGGAGAAAAGAGTTTTGATGACAAAAAACTCTTATACCAAGTTGAGCATAATTAGGAGACTTAACCTACTGATTAGTCAATCCTTTCTATATGTGTGTGTGTGAGAGAGAGAGGGGGCAATATACAATATTAATGATAGAGATTACCACACAAGAGTATGACTATAATATTTTTATATAGGTACATTCTATAATAGGTGACATTACAAAGGCCATTTTGATTTGGTTGGCTTCCACCCTACGAGAAAGTCTTGTTTGAACAAATACAAAGAGAGCTGGTCCTCGATTAAGGGAAATTTTTGGATTTTATTTTGCTAAAATGTGAAAAGATAGAATTGGGAAATTATTTATTATATGACCAATTATCGTCCCTAAACACATATTTGCCAAGCTTGAAATGGATCATGCTCTATTTGTTATTTTTAATTTTTTTTATAAACATGGATGTCTAAGCTAACTTGCATATATCTTGACTAATTTCATAAGCCCTAAAGTTAATAACTATGTAAATTTCCAGTGGTTTTAAGAGAACTCGAACTTGTGACCATTGGAGAGTAAATCCAAGACCTGACCAGTTAAATTATTTTCAATGACACATTTATTTATTTGATAAAGTAGCAAACAATGTTATTCTATTATATAAAAATTAACAAAAAATAATTGATTAATTAGTGAATTAACGAGACATTACCTCATGATATTAAGTAATTAATTACAAGATTAAAAGCATTTTTGAGAATGCGGTATAAATTGTATTTCCTCACAATTTATTTTTTTATAAAATATATTTTTTTATGTTTTTAAATTGTTTTGATATGTTAATATCAACAATATTTTTTTAAAAAATAAAAATATTATTTTAATATATTTTTAAATAAAAAATACTTTAAATGATCATTGATATAAACTCTTAAACCGGGTCCTAAATGAAAAGGGCTAACGGGAGATCCATCTCGTCCATGCAAGTTAGAGAGGTCAAAATTGACTACAGATCTCTTGCCTCCGCTGTCCACCTCCAAAACAGAAAATGGACTCTCGGGTGCAGTGAAAAGTCAGTGCTCTTACAAGAGCCCTGAAACATTAAGTTAAGACAGCAAATATGATATCAGAAATCGTACATCAACCCTTAAACCAATGTTTCACTAGCGAAATAAGATTCACTTTGGTGTTTTTTTATAGTGACCCGTGAGTTCATTCATCTTCATTGCTAACAAAATCCAAAACTCATAAATCACAAGGCAATTAATTTAAGGAGAGTAGCAAACGAGAGGGCCAACTAATTTGGAATTCAAGTTTTGTGGCTGCGGCAAGCACGACTAGAAAATTGACTTTCATCGAAGAAATATTTCATCGGCTAATAAGCTATATTTTTATTGGTATAAAAATAACCAACGGTTTTATGAACCAGTTCCTTATCAGGGATATCAATAAATAATTTAATCAGTAAATATAATTATTCATAAAAATACTAATATAATATTACCAGAAATTTATCACTTTTTCTCGGCCAATCGGTCAATAATTATTATCAACAGTAATTCATCTTGTGTAACTAAAAAATTAATAAATATAAAAATATATCAGTAAAATTATCTAAAAACAAATCACAACATTATGTAAACAAAAAAATTTATTACGTCTATTTATAAGTCTATTGATGTACAAAGTCAAGCACATACAAGAAAAATATTTGTTCAAAAAGATATTCAAAAAATTTCAAAGCTTACTTATAGCAAATAACTCAACTCAATTATCCATGAATTACTATATTTTTTTTATCTATGCTCTTTTTGTATGTGTGTTTTCATATACAACTTTATCAAATTAGCTTATGTCCAAGCTGTGTAGCTTGAAAAATAAATAATTAGTTAAACTTTATCATAAATAATTATTAACATTTAAAAAAAATATTTAAAAATAAAATAGACTCTTACCATATTTTTTGCATGATTAATAAAAGGAAGTGATCCACCCATATATTTGTTAATAGAATCATGAGTCTTTTTGTTTATGTTGAAAGACTGACTTCGTGATTGCCTTCTAAAACCCTCCGATATTAAGAACTTAAGATATCTATCTCAATTACTTTAAATACTATTAGGAGATTTATAATTCTTTAATATCTTAAAGTCATTTGACTTGACTCTTTTTTTAATGTAATTGTATGTTTCATATCATACTGATTAAAAAAATAAAACCGTTTCGTCTTGACGCTAAACTTTTTATCAACATCTAAACAAAATAGCTAAATCAATATAATTTTTTATTATATCTATTTTTTTTATAAAATCTCAGTAGCATCTCTCCTGTACAGAAACCTACCCTAAAATTCCACATTCTTGCTATTATATATTGGTAGATTTTGCATGGTAATATCAAGGGATTTTCCTTAAATGCAAAATCAATTCATAATATTCTTGATTTAATTAATTATTTGATAAACATAAGCCTAATCTCATTTCATACTTTCATTTAAAAATAGAAAAGCCTGAATAATTTTGAACTCAGTTTAATGAACTTGTGAACAATATCAATCACAACTAAGAATGATTTGTTGAATAAGAACAATATGTATACAAATGATACCTTTTCCTATAAAAATCAATTATAATTCTTATTGATTAACCAAGTTTAAGATCAAACCGAATTTAGCTTATACGGCCAACTCAAATAACTGCTCTTAGCTCAGCTTAATATGCTTAAATTCCCATTTAGCAAGGCATTATCTAAAGTTTAGTATGCCTAAACTATGTTCTGACTAGATTGAACCTAAAACATGTATGACCTTCATCATTTTCACCAAACAGGATCATTTTCTAGGAACAATACATAGACATTATTGATCAATATGTAAAAGCATGTATGTCTACGTCTATCAAAGATTCATCTCATTTTAATTAAAAAAAAAAGGCTCGTCAATTGAACCCCTGTATATAAGATGTTAGACGAACTTATAAAATAATTTAGGTTGCAAAATAATTATCTTTAGAAACTTCACTATATTGTTCTCCATGTGTCTTAAATAAAATCAATAACTTTAAACACATATTAATTGAACCTAATTCCGATTAACAATCCACATAAAAACCCACCAAAATCTAAGTAAAATAATGACATTAATTGCAAATAAACATGGATATAATTGCTAAAACATTCGATCTAAGTTATACAAACAAGAGAAAAAACATTAAATCTAAGAAAAACCAATAAATATCAAGATCAAATATTAAATCCTAGTGGAGAGAGAGGAAGCATTGCAACTAATTCTACAGAGAGAATGTTAACCACTGGTTATGAGAGAGAGGGAGGGAGAAAGAGGGAAACAAATCGTGGATGTTGAGAGAAATGGGAAAAAAAATTAAGGATTGCCCTAACATATCTGTTTTTTAATTCATCGATGGAATTTTCTGGTAATGATTTCATTACTAAATCAACACGTCAACACATCAGGGATGAAATCACCAACAAACTTTTTATATTTATCAATAATTCTATAAAAAAATTAAATAATTTATGAAATATTTTGAAAACACCCCCAAAACTTACTAATGAAATTTTATCTGTCAACTATTTCATCAATTAATTGAACTTTCATGACTTTTTTCTCAATTCTCTAAAATTCTTTGATGATTTTAGCGGTCATCGGTTATTACATCGATGATTGATAACTTATGAATTTGTTTCCCAACTCTTTGGAATTCTCCTACAATTTTAATAATCATTGGTCATTACTTTAGTAAATTATAATTATGATAAACACTAATAAAATGACCAAAATATATTCTATTTTTATTAGTTATTCCAAATAAAATTTTAAAAATTTCTCATTTAATATGTGTGTTATAATCCCCTATCCAACCTAATTATACAAGAATAATAACAGCAGTAACAATCATGTTCAATAAAAAAATTTTATTCAAAACCATAATCATATTTATATTTGTTTGATTTGATAAATGTATAAAATATAATGCATTATAAAGCAACAATAAAATATCTTAATTATAGAATGATGTTTTACATTTTAAATAATTTCAATTCCTTTTTAATTTGAAACCTCATCATCTTCATTGTTATTTTCATTATCATCATATCATCATCTTCCTAATTAAATTGAAGTTGGTCAATCTCTTAAGCTTCATTAACTTTTATATGTCTAGTGGTACTTAATAAATCATTTAACTTCTTAATATCAATATGAACATAAGTATTCTTAACAAAAAAAAAACTTGAACTTTCATGTTGCTGATTCGGTAGATGAAACAAATTAACGAGTTAGTTAGTATAAATCAAGAAGTATCATTTACAAAATTGGTTAGAAAATGGATTATTAGTATAAATACAGACTCAAGGTAAATAAATATAATTAGTAAGTGCTTCTTTATTATAAACCACATGCTAGAGTGATGAATATAATGTGTTAATGTATACGAACATTTTCCTTGAAAAGGTCGAAATTATGGAATTGGATTAAAGAATTCTAAGGTTAAATTAAGGCATAGGATAAGAATAATGAACTAGATACATGATTTAAAATCATATTGAAAAATTTGTCTCAAAGACCATTATCAATAAGTTAAGGCCCAAGTTAATGATATCAAGTTCGATGAATAAGTATAGTCAAAAGTCATGTTTGCTGATTTGGGATAATGCACCCTTAACCAAGATTAAGTATGAATTAAATGTATGAAAAATATTAATAACTCCTAGTTGGAATTAAGTAGGAGTTAAATAAGTTTAAAAAAAAGGGCAACTAACATAGAACATGAACTTTTATTATTGAAGAGAAAGAGCTCATGTGTAAATGTTATAGATCACAAATGGGGAATTGAGATTATTTAATGAATGTAGTTAGCTTATAGCAAAAGTGGTGGTTAATGCTCAGGGGATAATGAACATATGATCATCAAGATCATAGCCTATTCTTGAAAGTGGTTGTTGATGATATGAAATCAATATAATAAGCTTTCAAAGTAGAGTAAATAATATAATTCTGTAAGAACCAAAACATTGGTGCTACCATTAAAAAGGATAAACCAATCATAGGTGGAAGGATTTTAGGGGTAAAATCTAGAAATCTAGATAGGATATTGATGATTTATTTGAATGTTTATAAGAAGCTAAGATGACAATGTGGCAATCAAAAAGAGAAATTGTTCTATTATGATAAGTAATGTTTTGCATAAATTTTCTTCAATGAATATGAGTAATGAGTAATGAGTAATATAAAGTGAAATTATTAATATTCTATGAAGGTATATTTAAGTATAAATATTTATACTTATGTGTATTTGTTATAGGATCTTCGCAGACCATATAAGAGTAGTCATTTATCTACTTCATATTTTACTTAGACTTATGTAATAATTATGAAAATATGTATATAATTTAATAATTTTTTTATTATGATTTATATATAACATTAATTGAAAGTGCATATGCTTTTGGATATTTGTATTTACTAGATATACAAACTTAGCTTATTAAAGGTTTAGCAGTCATGTTTTAAGATTAAATTGTATGACTAAACATTTTACTTATTGACCAAGATATGTAATTCTAATGTTAATGTGATTGTTATGGATTGATGGAAATTATATGGTGATGAGTTGTTACTAGTGATGTTGAAATCAAGTTAAGATATAGGAAGATTGAATCAAATGATCATGATGTGTGGTTGTATAATTAATCATAATATATATGTTATTAAGATAATTTGATAGTAAGTTCAATGTGTTGTGGTCTAACCTATAAGAATAATGGTAATACTATGAGAATTGAGAATGTTATCTTTTGCTTTGTATGTATCCTAAGGAAAAAAGAACTGTTTAGTGATTTAGACAAAGATAATTCTACTAAAATTTCAGTAAAAACTAGAAACATAAATTATAATTATATGATTTATTTCATATATATGAATATGTTAAATAACAAATCAAATTTAACTATAAGATCAAAACACTAACATGGATTATTAATATTAAACATTAAAAAAATTCACTATGTTTTTCATGAGTTAAAGGCTTAAGGTATCTTCACAACATTAAGATTTTATTAGGTATTATAACGAGACTATATCATACAATTCTTCCTCTAATAGTACTAGCAATACAACATTCCCTTCAATTTTACCTCTTAAGAAGTCCTTTTTGTATTTTTTTTTTATATATATAAATGGGACTTAGCAAGAATATCTATAAGGAATTTTAAAAAAAAAAGTTTTACCACCAGTCATTAAGATAAAGACCTTATTGTTTTTTATATAATATAGATATTTTATATTTTCACATGTGCTCTATTCACAAAATATTTCATATGAAAAAAAAATTATTTATAGTTCACATCAATGTTGTTTTTATTTGAAAATTTTATTTTCTTGGAACATCATATGTCAAATCATTAATTACCATAACTTATTTAATTTATTAATTAATAGTCGAAGACAAATATTTATATTCTTACCTAGGTTTGACTATAGATAAAAATATAAATTTTAGTTTTATACACATCTCTGGAAACAAGTTGCTTACTATTAATATCACTAGCCAATAAAAATAGAATGCAATAAAGGATCCAAATGGATTGAACCCATCAACACACAACTCAAGATGTATGTTTCATGATTTCTTTAAAAACTAAATATGCACCCTAATAAAATATTTTCGTGCTTTACCATCAAAATAATGTATTATGATTCCATCTACTTTTTCATATGAATGATGTTTGTCGTGTGATTGGTCATCCTTAAATATATAAATAATCTTTCCAGCCTCACTTATGCAATGATCTATAATTTATTATGATTTATGCATCTATTTTATAATGGTTCATCAAAAAAATTTAAAAGTTTTAAAAATTTAGTTGCATTTAATTTAGTTCTTCATTGACATATGAACCTTCATTTGAATAACTATGATTAATTTTCATTGTATTCATCATCATAATCCTAGAACAATTGCTATTATCATCTATAATTTCACATATGCTACTAGAACTAAATATTGAGTCAACAACTTTTTTAACATGGTCTTATAAGGAACATAGGGTTTTCTATATGCAAACCAACACAAATATTTCTTTATAAATTAGTTTTTAGAAATTGCATCATCACAATATTTGATTGATAAATTTTTTATTTTTATAATTTACATATAGATATCTAATTTTATCTTTACTAATATTCTTTAAATTTGATAGTACAAAATTAATATAACCCTCAACCTTTTATAATGATATTTCATAGAGTGAATCTTGATACATTCAAAAATTATTATTTATTATTTTAAAAAATATTACTAAAAGAAAAACCCTCCAAATTGATTTCGTACCCATTCCATGAAGTAAGGTTATCCTTGGAGACTTATCGGATTAGCTCGCTCCTATTAACAAATGCAGTGCAAGGGACCGCGCTGCATCTTAGAAGGGATGTAAACGTCGTCATCCTCCTATTCCAACAGCTAATACCAGCTGGCGT